TGCAGACCAATTATGAAATTGAATGTAAACACCGGGTATTTCACTTTCTATCTGCATGTTAAGCTCTTGGTTGGTGAACCGTTTTATTATGGAAATGATAACATGCTTCCATTTTACGATGTCTTGATTTGAGCATCAAATAGTGTGTTTAAACTAGGAAATATTGCTTTCAGTTTTGTCTCAGATTGAAATGCTTAGTTTTGTAAGAATATCACTCGCAATGATCATTCTGGATGTATTAATGAACTTGGCACGCACGACCGCCTAGGCATGAGAGACTTGTGGGAGAAGACGGGTGTATTAATGGTATGAAGTCTTTGTTGTATAGATCAACTTTAGGAGTCTATAATGTTCTCAATGGGTCTTATAAGACCTGCAGATTAAGTTACTCTATCACCTGAGAATGTCATGATTGAGATTTAGACATGTTTTTATGTGGCCTCTTCATTTATAACTGTTATATTTAGATGTTGGGTTTTATTGCCACAAAAATCTGAAATTAGAGATTATTGTATTTCTAATTGATGAGTCAATGAATTGGCCACTCAAAGGGGAATGCTAATTTCCATTGGATGTAAAGTATCCTTCAAGGTTCTCTCTCTCTCTCTCTCTCTCTCTCTCTCTCTCTCTCTCTCTCTCTCTCCAGTTTTTCATATTTTAGATGGTGGGGGCATGAAAGAGATGAAGATTGGTGTTGATCGTAGTATGTCATTGTGCCCCTATGGACATTGCTGCCATGTAGATTAGACTAGGAGCCTGTTCCTCCCTCTCCTTATGCTAAATGAGGTTTAACAATACATCAATTAGAATTTGTGGATATTTGCCCCCTCATATTTTTTAATGGTCAAAATACATTCTCCAAGCGCACCATACTTTTCCTCCCCAATTAGATATACTCGTTAGTTTACCACAAGATAATTAATTAGCTTTTGATATTTATAGTCATCTTTTTTCTTTCTTTTCCTCTTTTTTTTTTCAGGCAATCATTGGGGCCACATATTGATCTACGGGATTCTCATTTCCTGGCTTTAATTGCTGCTGAGCGTCAGTTCTTGCAATCAGAGTATGATGACTATGGTGTTGCAAACAGTAGCCTTGCTTGCATCCGCTCTGTGGCTATCATTGAATGTAACCCAAATACCTACTGAAAATTTGACAACTAGTATTAGTTTTGCCTTCCAAATATTAGGAAATTGGAGTTTTAAGTATTCTAAACCACAAGATAATTAATTAGCTTTTAATATTTATAGTCATCTTTTTTCTTTCTTTTCCTCTTTTTTTTTTCAGGCAACCATTGGGGCCACATATTGATCTACGGGATTCTTATTTCCTGGCTTTAATTGCTGCTGAGCGTCAGTTCTTGCAATCAGAGTATGATGACTATGGTGTTGCAAACAGTAGCCTTGCTTGCATCCGTTCTGTGGCTATCATTGAATGTAACCCAAATACCTACTGAAAATTTGACAACTAGTATTAGTTTTGCCTTCCAAATATTAGGAAATTGGAGTTTTAAGTATTCTAAAAAAGCTATTTTATGAACCTTTTATCTTGAGGGCAAAGCATAAATTTAGAGTAGTGAAGGATTAATCAAAAGTTTGCTATACAGTTGATGTTAATCTTGCTTATACGCCAAGTTCTGATGGTCACCAGAGATTTTGGGATGGTGCAAGACTCGTCAACATTCTTCAATGTAAGTCCAAGATGATGATGTTTAAAAATTTTGTGTACATGTTTAAATTATCACACAACCACAGATTTGTATAGGAACTAACAGAAACACCTTAGGAGGGACCAATATAAGTTGTATGAACTTACGACACATTAATGGGATGTACCATTTGTGAATTAGCCTTAAAATTATTTTTTTATTCTCATAATCTCGAAAAAAAAGTCTGTTAGAGGGATAAATTATATAATTGATCTAATTGTAAATTGATGAGTTACTAATGTTTTTAATCTTTTGTATAATTAATTAATTACTAAAGCTTTTAATTTATTTTTTTGTAGATTGGATTGGGGTGGTATTTTTGACGTGCAACAATGATGTAATTTGCTTGAATGTTCATTTTGTTTGATAAGGATACACATACTTTTTGGAGTTACACTAGTTATTGTTGGATGTTTGGTGGAATTGTACAATTAACTTTTGGATATTTTGTGGATATTGCACTCTTTTATTGTATTAGGATGAAATTATTTGTAATGATGAATGGGTATTTTCATTTTGTTAATTCGAAAAAGTGTTGATGACAGGTTAGGTTAAGTTGTGAATGAAATTGTTGTATTCAACAGGTTTCAACATGAACAGGGTTATATTTGTTAAACTAAAATTCAAATTTTGATAAAATAGGTATATAATGTGGAAAAAAATATTATGAAATTAGTGACAAAATTTTTCATCCCTAAAGAAGGTTTTTTCGTCTCTTATTTGTCTTAGGTGGAAAATTAATTTTGTCATGAATTCTTTATTTCATCGCTAAATGAATTTGTCATGATGAAAAATATTGTCACATTTTGTCACTATTACTCTCAATGTGTGACGATTTTTTTTGACATTATTTCATCATTTTTAATGATGAATTTGTTTTTGTCTCTATTGGTAGCTTCTTTGACAAAAAAATTTCGTCTTCATTTATATTAAACGTGATAAAATTATTTCGTCTCTAATTTCTTTCTTTAATGACAAAATATTTTGTTGCTAATTACTTACAAGTATGTTCCCAACAGAGTGTATTGGAGATAAAAAATTTGTCACAAATTTATCATTTTTAATGATGAATTTGTTTTTGTCTCTATTGGTAGCTTCTTTGACAAAATTTTTTCGTCTTCGTTTATATTAAACGTGACAAAATTATTTCGTCTCTATTTCATATATTTATGACAAAATACTTTTGTCTCTAATTTCTTCTTTTAATGACAAAATATTTTGTTGCTAATTACTTACAAGTATGTTCCCAACAGAGTGTATTGGAGACAAAAAAATTCGTCACAAATTTATCAATTTTAATGACGAATTTGTTTTTTCGTCTCTAAGACCCTTTAGCGACGATGCTTTGGTGACAAAACGGGTGACGAAAAATATTCGTCGTAATTAGTTTGAGTGACGAAATATATACATTTTGGGACAAATTTGTTTCATCTTTAAATCCCAAATTTGTTGTAGTGATAACATCAATAAAGTAGAGGCATAGAGCAAAAAGCACCACAGTGAACCCTTTCATCTCAACTATGTTGGCACTAGAGGAAACACCCAATCATATGCTAGCTCAAGCCAAAGGGTTGGTGAAAAACCCAACAAAACCAAAAAGAACCTACAGCAGAGAAGAAAACACCAACCACAAAACATCCACAACAGCTCAATCAACAACAATAGACAGAACAACAGCAGCTCAGGCGACAACAATAGCTCAATCTCAAGCAACAGATAGAACAAAAACACCCACAACAAACAGGAAAAATGTCTATCACAACAGCAGCTCAAGCAACAGACATAACAAGCAACAGGCAGAACAAAAAACATCCACAAAAACATGCATAACAGTAGCCCAATCAACAAATAGAGAAAAAAAACACCCACAACAGTAGCTCAATAGCATGCACCAAAATAAATCCTGAACCCTACACCCAAACTTCTCCATACCAAAATCAGCTTATGAAGATCCTAAACAACTTCTGACTTGATGAAAATTGAACATGACATCATTAGTTGAAAATAAGGCACCACTAATATGAGATCTCATCCAAATTGCTATTCTCACCTTGATACACTCACAGAGATCATGAACACGGGGTTAAATTGCCTTGAAAGCACATTCATTACGATATCTCCACACAGACCACAATACTGCTGTTGGTAAAACCCTCCACACTTAATTAACTTTCTTCTTAAACTTCCAACCCAATCACCAAAGTAATAAACCATCAATGGATTTGGGGATAGCCCACTGAAAACCCCACTAAACAACAATAACAGACCAAATTTTCCAAACAAAAGGACAATGAAGCATAACATGGTCAATTAATTCACTACCCTGACGGCAGAAAATACAAGTTCGGACATCTTCCCCTGCCAAAATTCGAAACCTATGTAGCATCTCTTTTGTTTTTAGTCCACCTCTCCAAGCTAACCAAGAGAAAATTTTTGCTTTAGGTAGTGAGAAATTATTCCATATGATAAGATCAACTAATCTGTGACAGGGACCAACATTAATCAAACCCCAATCATAAACAAGATGAACCTGGAATGTAGCTGACTATGAGGACTTCCATCCTAAGCAATCAACTGAATCACTTCTTAGAACAGGGCCAGATCCCAAAGTAGTGATTAATCACTCTAACTCACCTTCTTCCCAAGCCCAAAGTGCTCTTCTGAAATTGAAACCCCACCCAGATTGACTAGACCTTCGAGCTAGTTGTATGCTCTAGGAACTCTTTTTATCAATAACAAATTGGAACAATCTAAGGAATTGGCTTAGGAGATTTGTTGAATCTAACCAAATGTCTTTCCAGAAACTAATCCTTTCTCCATTTCCTATTAAGATTTCCACATTATCTTTATAGAATTGAAACAAACTTCCATTCCTGTGGGCCATTGATAAAGATCCTTCCAAATCTGAGATGCATGGCCATGAGCAGCCTGATCAGGGAACCATTTTCCTTCAATAAAATCATATTTCTCACACATAACTAGCTTCCACAATGGCTCATCCTCCTGACCATACCTCGACCACCACTTCAAAAGCAAAACTGTCATTAGCGAGCTTGATATTTTTGATCCCCAGACCACCCTGTTTCAAACTCATACAGACTTCTTTCCACCGGACTAAATAAAGCTTCCTGTTTTGCTCTAAGCCACCCTACAAAAATGATGCTTGAATCCTGTCAATCTCTTTTGGAACACACTTTGACATTTTAAAGAGAGACATCTAATACACAGGTAATGTAGATAACACAAACTTAATGAGTGCAACTCTACCAGAAAATGACAATACTCTTCTCTTCTACCCAGATAACTTCTTCTTGAAATTCTCCACAACCGACCTCCAAGTCAATCTCCTACTATGACTGGCCCCTAATGGTAGTCCTAGATACTTCAGAGGCAACTTCTTGCTTAAACAATTCAATTTTGCAGCAAACTCGTCAACCAATACATCTGCCACACCCACCCCGCACACAACACTTTTGAAAAAATTAATCCTTAGACCTGAGATTATTTCAAAGCACCTAAGGATTCTTTTAATAGCCAATATTTCAAACCATTTTGCCTCACATAAAATCACCGTGTCGTCCGCAAATTGTAAGTGGGATACATTGAATCCAACATCATCTACCCATATACTTAGCTCTTGAAATAAGAATATTCAAACCCTCAACTACAACATTAAATAGAAATAGGGATAATGGATCACCTTGCCTTAACCCTTTTTGTGGATAGAATTCTGGTGATGGTGATCCATTAATAAGAACTGAAAATCTTGCAAAGGAAATGCAACCCTTTATCCATTTGGTCCAAGTAGTACCAACGCCAAAATTCTCCAACATTTGAATAAGGAAGTTCTAGTTAACAGTGTCATAAGATTTTTCAAAATCAAACTTAATGATTAGACTCTTTCTATTAGATTTCTTCGACCAGTCCACAATCTCATTTGCTACAAGAATACCATCCATAATATTCCTTCCACTAAGAAAAGCTAATTGAACTCTATCAATAATTTTTGGCAGTGCTACTTTAAACCTGTTGGCCAGCACTTTGGACACCACTTTATGTACTGAACTAATCAGACTGATAGGCCTAAAATCTTTAATTGAGTAAGGACTATCAACTTTAGGAACAAAGGTCACAAAAGAGCAATTTATTCCATTACCCAAAATACCATTAGCATGAAACTCGTTAATGAATTCCATGATATCACCCTTCATGAATTTCCATCCCTTTTGAATGAAAGTCAAATTAAACCCATCTGGACCTGGAGCTTTATTGCCATCGCATTCCATAATTGTAGCCCATACCTCTTCTTTTGAGAAGTTCTTCACCAAACAATTCTGGAGCTAACATTGATCAACGCATCTAAACTCACCCCCTAGTCTTGGTCTAATCTTCCACCCTTCAGTGAACAAATCTTTAAAGTGAGCCTATACTACCTATTTTAACTCCACATGTTCCTCATAAAGAGTATCATTAATCTTCAACGAGTCAAAACAAATTCTTACTTTGCCTTCTAGAGGCCATTATATGAAAGTACCTGGTATTTTTATCCCCTTTTAAGGCCCAATTCAGTCTGGATTTTTGCAACCAGATCCACTCTAGCCTTTTCCAAAGTTTTTATACTTCATTTCTGACCTCAATTCTTTTTCTAACTTTGTCTTCTAAAAGATCTCCCTTCAGTAGTGAGATCCCAAGAATGTAACTCATCTTCAGCTGGTTTGAGCTTAGACTCCACATGACCAAATACCTCCACATTCCAAATCTTCAATGCTTGTTTAAGTGATCTTAGTTTGACCATTAATCTGAAACCAACCCACCCCTCCACTTGTGTACCAATCCAAACCATTTTAACTTCTGTAGACGTCCCCGAACATCCCGGGAGAGAATCCCATTTTGTTCATTGGGCTTACTACTATTTAGGACTCAATGTCACGATCCTGTATCTAATCTCACAGAGTGCAATGCAAGACCGATGAATCATCAAAGAGTCCAAATCCGGCAAATCATTTTGAAAAACTGATTTTTTAGAAAGAAGTGTCAAACATGGACTGCTTTGCCAGATACAGAGTCGCCACCTAAATATTTTATTTTGGGGGGATTTAGCAAACCCTGACTCGTGCCTAAGGCGACGTGTCCATCATCACCAAAGTTGCCTCGGCTTGGGAACTTGGGTACAATTGGGGAAGGTCACTTCGTGAGCACCCCCCGTTCGCCCGATCAAAGATCGGCCTCTACTAACCATGATATCGAGTTTTGAAAACATTATGTGCTCTTATTCCGGTTATTAGTCTAGAATTACTATGTGAGGCGCACAACATAAAAGTATAGACTGGATCACCTAAGTTGGAACAAAACATCTCATGTTTGTTTTTGAAAGCGGTTTGCTAGTTGCAAGTAGGCTAAAATGCGGATTTTTCCACCCTCAAGTTGGCTTAGAAAACATGGTGATTTGCTACTCACAAGTGGGCTTAAAACTCGTAATCGATGAATTGTTCCAATTCAAATAATCCAACCTTCACCCACAAGCATTCAGACAGTTATATCACATAAGCACATAGCCTCATGGTAAGCATGCTATCATGGCAGTCACTCACACACATGCAAGGATGCTAAAGCATAAACACTTACCAAGTACTCCGAGACAAAGAAAGAAGCTAATTAGAAATCATGCATGAATCCTAACTATGCTAAGAATGCCTAATGTAACACATGCAAAAATGTAACTACAATAGGCTGGACTATTCTAAGATGGCATATGAGATGCAACAATCGATACATGTATTCAACTTGGAATTGAAATACAATGCAGTTAGCATGATGCGCCGAGCCCGGTGCATCCAATTCAGATGAATGAATGCAAACATGCGAACATATAGATGCTAATTGAAACATGCCCTAAAACTAACCATCATAAGCTCGTAAATAAAAGGGAGAAAGACGTGGGGTTGGAAGACATACATCACACAAATGCACACTTATTACAACATTGCCCTCTCTCGGAGGGTCCGAATAAATAATACACAACGAAATGAATAACTAACTATAGCTAATTATTACATAACACTGACTACTTAACAAATTTAACTAAGTAAGCAATAAAACTATTATGCAAGCTACATGAAATGGACTGCCTCAGCTCTGCCTTGGATGGCACTGAATGCATGCATGCTTGAATCGCTTTGTCGGGAAATCCATCGTGATGCTCAAACTTGCCCTTGTTTGTAATTGACCTCAAAACACTACACAAGGCTCCAGAAGGCTGAAACTCCACCTTGGGAAGCTGTGGGAAGGCTGCTGACCAGCCCTTGGCCATGGAGACCACCTACTGACCACCTTTTGTGGTGGAGACCAAAAGAGGTGGTCGGCCTGCCAGAAAAGCTGGTCGGCCAACCAGTTTCTGCCTCCTGTTCTTGGTTTTCTGCAACACAAAGCAAGAGAGAGGCATAGCAAGGTATTTTCACATATGTATGCACGACCACTCTCCTTGTCATTGCACAAGCTCTAGGGAGTGTAGACCTCGATCCTCGTGCCACCAATCACGCATCTCGATGCATGATGACCGAGGAATCAAATTGCACGTCTCAATATGAAATGAATGCACATATAAACACAACAAGGCCTAAACTCCATCATGGGTAATCCGGAGTGTCGGCGACCGGGAATTGAGACACGTTTCATCACTTTGTGTACGAAACGTCCCTCATTTCCCGTGTTTGGACTAACCCTACTCCAAACACAATGCAATGAGATGGCATACACAATGCGGCTAACATGCAACCCTAAATGCAATGCAACCTAATCATGGTGGAATGCGAGGGATGATATGCACGCATGCAATTAGCATACGCAATGCTATGAACCTAGACTGGCATACTCAATGCACATGAGCTATATGGCATACACAATGCACACATACGAAAATGGACATACACAAAGACATAACCAAACCATACACAATGCGATGGTCAAACGTGCAACAACATGAGCTAAATGGCATACACAATGCAAGATGGACTTAAACCAATATGAGTGGACCTCAGCCACACTCAAATCAGTGGCCATTCATGGTGAAATTAAAGGCAAGAACACTCATGCAAATATGCCCAATGCAAGGGACCGATCCTAAAGCACCAAATGCAACTTTATCAAAGCATGGCAAAGGATGAAATATGGCATACAAACACACATTTTCCAGCTCTAAAACATGATGCACCATGGTCCCAAATCATGCAAATATGTCACCCAATGCATGCTAGATGGCCTGAATACCGAAACTAGTAAAGCGGATTACACTAGAGGTACACAAAACAATGCACAAATGACAAAACTGACCCCAAACAAACCCTAGGCAGGTCCAAGACAGTGGGAAAATGGCCTAAAATGATGGCTCAACATGCATAGAAATGAAGCTCACGCAATGGTCCGAAAACGAGGCATTTATGCACAACTCACAAACGCATTTAAAGAGTGGAAAACATGGATATATGACATGCATATAAGCTCTGAAATATGATATGCAATGGCCCTAAAATATGGAAACACCTCAACACAAGCATGCAATAGGCCCCAAAACTCAAAGCTAGGCACGGATATTGTACTACAAGCATGCAAAACAAGCATCATTCGACCATGAGACCCAAAAATAGAGCTAAGGCAGTCCAAAACATGCACAAAATCAGTTTAAGGCATGGCCAAAAAGTGCTAAAATCAAGGGCCAAAGCAACATGCAATACAAGCTAGTGATGAGGGTTTACACTACAAGTATATTAAGAATTCCAGAGGCCACTAAACCAGAAAAATTCAGAGGTATTATATTCCAAATAAACCCTAAAAACCCACTGAAACATGGTCTATGCATGCAAGAATGATAGGCTCCTTTGATAGGCTATAAAGAGGGTTGTTCTACACATGCAAGAGGGACACCTAATATGGTGAAACTACCTCTGGAAAGAGGTTATGAGGTCCCTAAAACTCACTGAAAAGGGCCTGAAATGAGGCTAGGAACCATGCAAGTAAAGACTCCTTTGAAAGGCCATGGAGAGGGTTACTCTACACATGCAAGAGGGACACCTAATATGGAAAAATCACCTCTGGAAAGAGGTCATGCAGGTCCTAAAACCCACCAAAAATGGCCTGAAACATGCTCAAGAAGTGTGAAAATATGGGCTCCTTTGTAAGGCCAAGAATGCTAGTAAACAAGACAAGGGATGTGAAGGCCACCCCTCTCTGATTTTGGGGCTCAAAACAGCATGCTATCCACTGAAAATCCACTAGATTTCAGTGGCTAAAAGACCAAACAAAGCACAATACAAAGGCCTTAATGCATGGCTCAAAACAAGATGAAAACAAGCATGCAAGGGGGTAGATGACCCCCAACATAAAAATGACCTTAAACAAACTTCAAGAGGAGCTCAAAATAAGACTTTTTTCAGTTTATGAAAAAGCCCAAATATGCTTGAAAATATAGCTAAGATATGAAGCAAAATAAGGACCAAAAAGGGAATAAGAGTGTTACCCTTGTAGCCAATAACTCCAGCAACTTCTGGACCAAAACAGCAACTCCTTAGCCTCTGAAAATAAGTTCCAAGGTGCTTAGATGGATGATGGAGAGGTTAGGTTGTGAGGTGGTGTGCAGAGGAGGGCAAGAACTTCACTCTTTTAAGCTTAAAAGGGAGAGACAAAGAGAGATATATGGTGTATGCTCTCACCAAGTTCTGAACCCCTGCCAAGGAAAGAGAGGCCTTCCTTTATAGAGCCAAGGGTCCAAAGCTTCTCTTGGAAGCTTAAAACCAAGATTAAACATCCTCCATACACGTGGAGGATGCAGCAAATGCCT